TATTATTAGATGTACATACAATTTTTTTAACTTTTATAATATTTTTTTTAAATTTACATAATAAAAAATAGTTTATTATATTATTATTAAAATTTGGAATTTAAAATAAAAAAAAACTAAATAGGTCTCACCGTGAAGAAAAGATAAACATTATAATAGGGTTTAATAGTATGTATCAAAAACCCGCACATTTTTCATAATAAAATAGTAATGTTAGTCAGATAAAGTACAAAGAGCAATCAAATGAAACACTAGGTATTTTTATACTAGTTCATCTCAATCATTGAAATTACATATAGTTTTCAATCTAATCAGATTGAGTTTTACTATCTTTAAATAAAGAAATAAGTATCCTTTCAACAAATCACTTCTAGCTCAACCTTAAATATTATTTGACTTGACTTGCCTCTTCAAGTAACTACCCAAGTATTCTTTTAACAACAAGTCTCTTTAAGCTTACTAACCAAGTATTTTTTTTTTACTGTCAAGCCTCTCCAAGCTCAAAATGAGTATTCTTTTTTAGACAAATCCCTCCAGACTTAATCTTATGACAATGATTATGAAGGTTACACAAGTATTATATTTATCTTACTTAGACGTTATACAACCAGTATAAAGTAATAAGATTTTTACAAGAAAGAATAATTTTTAGATAATGTTTCTTTTTATATAAGTCTTTTTTGTGTATTGCACTTCTCTTGTATATATTTATTTATCTTCTTTCTTATGTTTTGAATTTTCTTATATAGTAGTTAAAAAAAGATGACCATTACAACACTTTGAGTCTAGCTCTCAAGTTTGTTTCATTTATCTTTATCATCTTTATTTATGATGACAGGTAATTATTCGACTCATTTAATGTGAGCATTAAATGCATTTCACCAAATTATATCTCTTATCTAATCAATGAAGTTACTTATCAATTTTTCATACCAAATGAAGCTTATAGAAGTAATTCCAGCGCACTACAATAGCAACAATGACTTTATTTATTTTTCTTTGTGATTCTAGGGATCTTTGTCCTTGGCCCTAAAAAATATGATTTTGTTTTCTTTGATAGAATTTTGAGTTCCAAGATAATCTCCTAGTTTGATCTATTAAGGAATGAAACATTTAAGAAACTTTTATCATTAGTCTCAATAAATAATAAGCATTTAATGTATATGAGTTAGTCTCAATAGATAATAAGCATTTAATGTATATGAGACAAATTGTATGTTTCTTCATATTTACATCGTCTTTTAAATGATTATGTGTTTTACACTTTGTCTGATAAGTGTTTCCAAAGATATTTTCAAAGACGTTTTTGAAAATATTTTATCTTATAAAAATGTTTTGTTTGTTAGCATTAATCTCTAAATTCAAGAGATCTAAGATTGTCGTTTGATTTAACACACACATACTATGATGAAAAAAATAATGTTATGAGGAAAAAACTTTCTAAATATTTTTTATATCTCATTTGAAGTATTTTAAATAACTAACGATAAACAAACAAAGATGTATTTACAAAAAAATTTATTTTTGATTTCGTACAAACAATAAATATAAAATGCTTAATTGTAGTGAAAATCTAAAAATTATTGATAATTTAATTTTTTTTTTATTTCAAGTTTATTTATTTATATTGTTAATAATGTAACACACACATTATTTTTTAATAATATATATACAAATATGTTGATATATCAAATTTAATAAACTTTTTTATAAAATTAAGATCAACCTTTTTCAAATAAGTAGACTTTTTTTAAAAGTCTAAGTATGATATTTTATTAATCAGGTCATATTAGACTAAATTTTAAATAAGTCAAGACATAAATGACGTTTAAAGTTTAACTTATTCTCATTCCTATTGGTAATTAATTAAAATAAATAAATAAATATAATTTTTAAATAGTTGTTAAAAAGATAGTAATTTTACATAATATAATAATTTATAATTAAATAACAATATAAAATTATTATAATATCAATTAATTTCAATTAAAATCATATTCATTTAAGCATCTAATGCATCGAAGTTTAATGAATTTAAACTTTATTATTCATTAATGTTTCTGCAGTGAAATTACGTATCAAACTACTCTTATTTAGAGTTAAAGTGATACAAATTTGTAAAGGAAAATTATTTTTGTGTTCAAGATTTATATCTATTCCTTTATGTTATTTATTTTTCAATTCAGATTGGTCTTTTTATTGTAAAAAATTAATCAATTTATTCTTTTATGTTTGTAGAGTGATTAAAAATGATTCATTTTCTGATGCATGCAATGATCAACGTAAAAAAAAATCGAATTAATTATTAATTATATTCATTGACATAGTTTTAAATACGGAGGACTTATAATAAGGACTAAATTCAACTTTATTTAAAATAAAAGACAAAATTAAATATATTTAAAAAGATAAAGAACAAAAATAAAAACATGTATTAAGATGATTCAACAAAGGCTATGATTGAAATAAAAATAAATTGAACATATTTAAAAAGATAATTAATGAAAATAAAACTATATATTAATAGTTTGATACCATTTCGCAAAGTGGTACGACTATAATTTAAACATGAAAACAATATAGAATTTATTTAAACTCAACTAATTAACTTTAAAAAAAACTTCGAACCAATTATGGATCCGAAAATAAATGTGTTCAATTATTAACTTCGTGAAATTTAATTTGGTAAAGTCATTACAAAAGATAACTACCAATAATAATAATAATAATAATAATAATAATAAAATACTCTAACATGTAACTAAAACCAAAGTAGAATAAAAGTTTTACATGCTAATTGCTTGCTAAAGTTAGTCTATAAAATTAGATAAAAAGCTTTTCTATTTAAATTTAGTTTAAATTTCGTGCTATATTTTTTAACTGGTTAAATTTAATCTTTCATATTTTTAATCGGATTCAATTTGATGATTTGTTATATCAAATTATGTGAACATGTATAATTAATTGTTAATTCAATTTTTTTTTTAAACTTTAACAGTTATATACATCAGAAAAACAATTATTTAAAATCACTTTTTAAACACAATCCTTATTTTTTAAAAGATAAAGTACTAACAACCAGAATTTATCCTTATTTGTGTTCGTAGTTCTATACATAATCTCATGTTCCACTTTATTTTACATTAAGGTTAATTCTCATAGATGATTGATTTCACAGTAGATACCCTGTATTAGAATCGGATGGACAAAAATTTCATTTTAATCCTATATGGAGGAGAATGAGAAAAATTTGTTACTCCCTAAAAGTTTATTATACAGAAATATATTGAACATTAATTATTATGCAGCTGAGCTAGACCATTAGATAAATATTGAATTCGTGTCTACTTATTTATATTCATTTCCAAGTTATGTGATTCGACATAAATATATTACAGTCATCATCAACATCGGATCCGTGGCGCAATGGTAGCGCGTCTGACTCCAGATCAGAAGGTTGCGTGTTCGATTCACGTCGGGTTCAATTCCCAGGTTTTTTTTTTCTTTCTTTATTCAAAATATCAAATATGTCAGCAGTCCGCAAAAGTCATTGACACCTTATCTTGTTTAGGGATCAAAATCAAATCAGATGTCATTACATAAATCACTGATTATGCCCTATACATTTCCAGATTAATTTTAATATATTATTTGGGTAAATATTTTACTGGTAAGTGGTAACTAATTAAAAATAAAATATTAAAAAAATATCATTAGGAAGTTAAATTTTTCTAATAAAATGATAATTTATAGTTAAATAACAATATACAAAATTTTATAATATCAGTTTATTTCAATCAAATTCACATTCATAATGTATTCATAGTGCTCTATTTGAGATATCATTATTTATTAACTTTTTTATACTCAAAATTACGGACCAAACTATTTTGTTTATAGAGAATTGAGGTCATGCGATTTTGATGAGGAAGATTTTTTTTCTTTCATACTTATGTACATCGTCACATGCCCTACTTTTGTACATGGTCTAGTGTTTTTGGATGATTGATTTCAATGGTAGTGGATTGGACCAACAGAATTTTTAAACACTTGTACTTTATATTATTACTTCAAGACTTTTTCTTATAGAAAAACATAAAGGTAAAATATTTTTTCCTTCTATATATATGTGCGTAATGGCAATAGAAAAGGATTAAATTTTGTTAAACCTTGCAAGTTGCAAATCTATAGAAGTTTGCTTTTAGTTTCTTAAAACCCCTCATATTATAGTCTCTCGTTTTTTTTTAAAAAGAATGTGTCGGGTATACTTTTTATTTTTTTTCTTCTCTTATAAGTTTTCAATTAGTTTATAAAACTTTAACTAACTTATAAACTAATTTAATCAAACACACCCTAAAAGGTCTTTGGTGATATATTGTCAAATTATAAAACCTATTCTTATCAAATAACAAAATTTCAAACTTTTATGTCTTTTTTTGTCATAACTCTTATAATATTGTTGAAAAAATTCCTCCACACACATTGAAAACACACTAACATTTTTATTTTTTTGGCTTTACATATTAAGCTAAACTATAATACAAAAATCAAACATTATCATCATCTTAATATTAAAAAAGAAAACAAATGTCTAAAATAAATTAAAAAGTATACAAATTTAAATAACATCCTAAAGACTTAAAATAAATAATAATAAATTCTTAAAAAGGGTTCCTCTTAAATTTTCACTCACTCCATCTATTTTGATATTTGAATTGTTGTCCCAGTTAGAGGCTCGGAGAAGATTTCTAAAGTTTATTTAGAAAACTTGCAATGAGAAGATTATTTATGTTTGTTTACAAAAATTTGTAATAAGGAGAATTTTCTCAATTTTACTAAGCAAACTTTTGAAATAGTAAATATTTGTTACTTATGAATATAAGTAAGACCATACGAGTTACCGGACCACGTTAAAATTGTGTCCTCTATTTTTATAAGTGGTGTTTTTCGTGCATTGTATTCTTTGATCTCATCATGTTCAAGTTTTTTTTCCCAACATGTGAAAATATCAAATACTCCTTTTATACAAAGTATTTGCTCTGTTGGTAAACCACGTACCAAACAAATAGTTTACTGAAACTATAAACCAATACCAGCCTTTTCTTAAATCTTAATATTATTATTCATGTAAATAAACACAATCCTATTTCACGCCTGAGTATAATAAGTATCTTTAGAACACCAGTGTTGTGATAAATGCTGACTATGTCTTATAGACAATCTGGTCATCAACTAATCAAGTTCTCGATCACACAGGTTCATAGTCACCACTAACATCAATTTCCTCATCATCTTCAACATCTAATGATCCAGTGCCAGCTTGTCCACCATCACCAGCTTTGGATGCTTTTCCTGGTATCATTGCCTCTTGTATGATCCTCATGATTTCTTCAACTCTCTGGCTTGGTTGGTCTTTCTTTGTTTCCTCGAAACCTTTTCTTTCAGCTTCAATGATCTCTTTAGGCAAATTCTTCAGAAACCAAGGGTTCTGTTTTATCTCTGGGATGGTGATCCTCTTTAACAATGATCAGAAATAGTTAGTTTGAAAAATGGGGAGATTCTCATTATACTAGAACTAAATCAACGTGAGTTTAATTTAATTGTGAAATATGGGTTTATCTAATGTTCATTACATTGACATTTTGTATGCTTTTGTAGAATTAAAGATGCATACCTTTGCAGGATCGGCAACAAAGATGCGAGAGAGAAGATTCCTACACTCAGAAGAAACACGAACATAGTCCGGTATGGAGTACTGAACACCTATTATTCTCTACCCACCAGAGAATCAGAGTTTAAGTCTCCTTCTATCAATGAGTAAGCATGAAGGAACTTTGAAGTTAAACGAGTGCTCACCCCAATAGTCTTTCTGAAATTTCTAGGATCTTCTGGATCTTCAAATGGGTATGCACCAACTAGCATAACATAAAGAGTCACACCACAGGACCAAACATCTGAAATCTACAAAAGAGCCAATTTGGGTGAGTAATTGAGAATTTGGGATCATATTATGAACTTTTAAATGGAAGCGAGACCGAGTTTCAATTGTCAAACCATGGCTTCCAATTGCCATAGAATGTGGCTTGACAAGCGCCTAAGGGAAATAGCAGAGAAACTCTAATACCTTTCCATCATACTCCTTCCGTGACAGAACCTCCGGAGCAATGTATGCAGGAGTTCCCACTGTTGATTTAGGTTGAGAGTGCAGTAGAGCAGACTGCAATTGCATATTAAATTAAATAGGACAGCCAACAAAAATTATAAGAAACATATGTGAGGAATAGATATAATATAATGTATATCATCTATCTCCAAAAAGGCTCATTTAGGCGAAATGCTATTAACCTTGGAGTAACCGAAGTCACAAATTTTAAGTCGAGGAGAAGGATTTCCATCCAAGAGAGTGTTTTCCAATTTCAGATCTCTATGACAAATTTCCTGAAATAGGAAGCGTAACATGATATGAGACATGATCTTGTAATCAAGAACACAATGAATTCTGAGTGCCTACCATTGAATGACAGTAGCTAACCCCAGATATTAGCTGCTGGAAGAAATATCTTGCCTGCAATATAGGGAATTCATTCACTTGGTAAATTTCAATATGATTACCTTATTCATGTATACAGATTATTTATGAGGAAACAGATCAACGACAATAGATTCTATAACCTCATCTTCACTAAATCGACCAGCAGTACATATCCTCTCAAAAAGTTCACCACCTGAGGCATACTCCAATACTATAGCTAAATGTGTAGGGGTCAACAAGACCTGCATGAAAGATATCTCATTCAGCATTTTGTTGTATGTAACTTCTGAAAGCTCTGAATCTGAATGGAACAAATCATGATCATGCTTGACTAAAATTTGATCCAAGTCCATGTAAAAGGATAGATAAATGAATCACAGCATCAAAAGCAGGAAATTGCACTAATTGAGCATTCTCTTTTTCCTTTCTGAAGGTACAAATCAAATTTAATATGATAAGGCTTGGTTCTTAATTTTTGTTAGTTTCTCTTTAAGGTATTGATCCAATTGATTTGCTGAAGAAATAATGCAGGAAAATGTTATGTTCGTCACATAACTTTTTGTGAATTACATACAGCAATTGTCTCACTGAAAATTATTATGGCCTCATTTATTTTAGTAATAATGCAACACACACATAACTTTATGCACATTATGTCAACAATAACAACTCATTGCAATGGGAATTACAAATTACACCACCAAATATCTTTGGGACAAGTTTCAAGCAAAGTGTAAGATAAGAACTTCGTGCAAAAAGATAAAGCAGATAACTATATGCTTAACTCAAAATGCCCAATTCTCCTTCAAATGTAGCGAAGAAGCAATTTGAGGATTAAAAGCAAGATCCTACCTCTTTGAACCTGATTATATTTGGATGCCTTAAAGATCGGTGGTTAATTATCTCCCTCTGAACATTCTCATCAATCTGATACCACAAACATAGCTCACTCAGAATCAGAACAAACACAGATCATAGAAATTTTTGGACATAACTACTTCAGAATAAAACCGGTGCTACTAGCCCTTTAAGCTTGATAATAAGCTTCTCGCAGAGAATGGTGATGTAAGAAACTTAAACATGATAGAGAACAACAAAAATAAATTTCATCTTTTATGAACATCACCGACTAAAATTCATCATCCATCAACTTTTGGTACATAATGTTGTCCAGATTCGAAGGAAGTCAAAATTTCAACAAGAGTGGCAGCAAAAGGCATCATAAGAAACTAAAGCATTCAATTTGAGGCTTTTTACTTGAAATTGAAATTAAAAAGAATGAACAAATTGGTGTTCTAGTTGCTAGCCCTTTGAAGACTCGATGTTTTGCAGCATAATTTTCTTTGAGATTTTACTGAAGACTTTTATGCATACAAGGAACAAGGAAGGAAATATTTTCATCAGGAAAAAATAAAAAAAAAAAGTTCCTCTGCTGAACAGTTTCCAAAACCCAATCATTGTTATTGTACCTTGATTTGATATTGATGTAACGAAACACTGAACATTTATTTCATGATTTTGAAAGTAGAGAAAAAGGGAAATAAAAGAGATGAGACGTCAGTTTCGAAATTCAGATGGGTGAGAAACAGAAGAATGAATGCAAAGAAAATATGCGGAGCAACCAAGCAGCAACAGCATTAGTGAGCAGTGGAGGAGAATTGAGCAAAAGGGGTAATTACCTTTTTACCCCTCTCTATGTATTTGACCGCAACAAGGTGTCCGGTTTTCTTGTCTTTGGCGAGCCTGGCCACACCAAAATTGCCAGAACCAAGCTCCTTCAATGGCTCATACCGCTCCTCCATGTCAAGTGTCAACCCTCACAAAACCTCAATAAGTGAACACAACAACTTAAACTAATTACAATAATATATTTATACATGCATATTAACAATAGATGAATAAATAAATTGAAGGGGACCAAAGAGGCATACGCAAGACAAGGAAAAAATCAAAGAAAGAAACATAATTAATCATGTGAGAGCAGAGGTTAGTGGCTCTGGCTCACCTAGTTTCTCCTCCTAGAAAATCATATGATCAAGTTATAGTGTATTTCTTTTGTTTTTTCTATGTGTAGAAAAGTGAGGGAGGCAGGGAATGGAATTTAATCTGAAAAGTTAGTTTGATGAACATTTCTTAAACAGTGGTGATGACTGATCAGAAGGAACAGTTGTTATTTGCTTCCCACTATCTAACGCGTCTTCTATTTCCTTATGTGTGTCTGCGCTGTCCAAATTTCGATTCTTTTCTTTTCTTTTGCCCTCTTCAGTATTGCCATTTTTATACTCTTATCTAGGGAAGATATTTTTTTATATATTATTTTTCACTCTATTCCTCTCGCACAGTTAAAGATCCACGTCTAAAATTACTTTTAAAGTTTAATTTTTAAAAATTAATAATAACATCTTTTTGTTAAAAAATAAAAATATTTTTAAATTAAGCTTTAAAAAATAATTTTATTTATATATTTTTAGATTGGAATAAACTTTTAAGAATATAAAAAATAGTTTTTGAGTTATGAGTCTTAAAAGTTACATAAATACTAATATAAGATATTTTTTAAGGACTTAAAGCAAGGAGTTTGTTCTCCCGTTGTTTGGATCAGCTTGCGCATCACAGAGAGAAATGTATGGTGATTGAAAATAGAGTAAAAGAATAAAGTAGATTTTAGAGTTATTTGATTCTAAAGAAATAAAAAAAAAAAAAGGAAAAAAACAAAATATTATAACGCCAAAATAAAATATATAAATGATGTTTATATGTTGATTTTGTAAAATTGGATTGAGATTCTAATTATTTTCTTAAAATAGTATTAAAGTTTATCCTGTTATTGAATATATTATATTTTTGTTATCTAACCATTATATAAATAATTTACATGTCAATTTTGTAAAGTTAAATTATAATTTATGATTTGATAATAAAAAAATTAATAATTTTATTAATTTTACACCGGTAATGTAACTTGACTCATTATAATATGAGCTAATAAGGAGGATTAGTTAAGTTTGTCCGTTGAAATGTGAACCAAGATGGTAGATATGTTAAATATATGTGTGAGCGTCGCTTTTAAACGGGACACGTTTGCTATTTTGTCGGTATAAAGAAAGAAAAAAAAAAACAAAATCAATTTAGTTGTAGCACAGTAAAGTGTCTCCTCGGCAACGGAAACGAAAACGAAAACGGATAATATTTGGATTACCAATTACCATCGAGTTTTTTTTTTTTTTTTTGACAAAAATTACCATGAAGTTAATCAACATATAAATTGAGAAATTCTTTGGACTAGGTAGTGTGCATAAAAGAAGAATATTTAGGATAGGGCAATGAAATTGAAATTATAAGATTTTGAGTCTCACTTGGTCCTGATTAATATGAAATGGGAGTTGAGACATAGAATGCAGATGATAGTAAATTTGGAATTTCTATAAATAAAAAAAATTTACAAGTTGAGCGTTGGTTAGACTTAGAGGGTGAAATGAGAGTGAGGAGATAGGAAGGTGTGGGCCGTGGGGCCCATATGAGGTGACATGAATTCGATAGGTTGCATGGACCTGTCCCATTAATGGTGTCGAGAATATCGTGCAGATTATACAATTCATACACCAAAAAATTGTGCTATACACTTCTCCAAGTGGGCTCCACCCATTCAATATCTATTCATCTTTTCCCTCTTGTGTGACATGTGTTTCTTTCTACCAACAACCTAAATAATTTTATCAGATAGTATAATTTTCTTTCAAATGGATAAGATTATTATTTATACTAAAATATAGTGTTTAATTTAATTACAAATTTAAATTTTAAAATAATATATCTACCACCTAGTATTGTTTTCATCATGGCCAAAATGAAAATATAGATTAAACTATATTATAATATTACATTATATTTATTTTAATAATATTAAATTAGTGGAACGTATTTAATGACTATAAATATTAGATAAATATATATATTAATCTCTCCAAATAAAGTAGTTTCCTAGTCATTTGGTATATATATATATA